ACGAGGCGGCCCGGCACAAGCGGGAGAAGCGGAAGGAGAACAAGAACACGGCCGGCTCCAAGCGGGGGAAGGAGGACGGCAAGGACAGCGAATTCGCCGCCATCGAGAACCTGCCCGGCTTCGAGCTGCTGTCGGACCGCGAGAAGGTGCTCTGTAGCTCCGTGAACCTGAGCCCCGCTCGCTACGTGACCGTCAAGACCATCATCATCAAGGACCACCTCCAGAAGCGGCAGGGCATCCCCTCCAAAAGCCGCCTGCCCAGCTACCTGGACAAGGTCCTGAAGAAAAGGATTTTAAACTTCCTCACGGAGAGTGGTTGGATTTCCAGGGATGCTTCCTGAAGGCGAGTCCCTGTGAGACCTGGAATGATGCTGAAAAGCTTGTGAGCCAAAATGACCGGGGCCGGGGGTGGGGGGGGGGCGGCGGGAGGGGAGGGGCGAGGAAACGCTTTTTTTCCCCGTTGCTCTTTTTTAAACAAATTGAGTTCTCTTTTGGGGGATATAAATTCTTTTTATGGTCCTCTTTAGAAGCAATAGTAACACTCAGATCGTGAGGGAGACAAGTATCTATTTTAACTTAGTCCTGAAAGTAATACTTTAAGATGACGATTTGCCTTTAAGTGTTCAGTTTGGAGAATTACGAGATGGGGTAATTTCCCTTTGTGAGTTTCTTCCCTTTGGTACATGACTGTTGTGCCGCGGGCAGAGGGACGCCTTGCCCTGCCGGGCTGCCAGCTTCGCCCTGTGACCTGACACCCCGGCACAGGCCGGCACGTGGCACTTTAGATGGGGCCGGGCAGGGCAGGCGGAAGCGAGGCCGGGGGGAGCCAGGACCGGCGCCCGCAGGGACTGGAGAGCAGGAGCGTGGTGTGGACCAAGTTGGCCAAGTGGAGCGCCCGCGGCTCCCGAACCCGACCGCCCCGGCTAGTTCCGGGGGGCGGGGCCACCGTGGGAGGAGCAACGGCCCTTGGCAGGCTCCCTTGGGTCTCGGGGGACACCGGGCCCAGCACGGGCTGCCAGAATGCTGGGGCTGATTTTTGCTGCTCTGGGAACTTGCATGCGTTTTACTTGGAAGAACTCGTCTTAGAAGGTTCACGGCTGAGAGTTCTCTGGGTTCTGGCGTTAGCTCCCCCCCAGGGTTTTCACCCCGGTTGCAGGGACCTCTTTCGCCGCGACTCTGGCCCTGCATCTTACTTTGGGGTGGCGTCAGGCGCTCAGCTTGGCGAGGGCGAGGCCTGCCTGGGCACCGCTTCTCTGGGTCACCGTCTTGAACCACACTCAGAGGTGGCGTCTGCCCGGCCTTGTTTAGGGACGCTCCCAGGGGCGCTCTTTCGTGGACCTGGACGGTACCTTCCTTCCGGAAGCTGAGGAGCCCCTCGTCTTCCCGCCGCTCAGGGCTCCTGTGTCCAAGGCCCTGCAGAGACTTGGTGGAGTGGCCGGAGCCCAGCGGCCGGTTCCTCCCGGGGCGTGGCCTGCCTCTCCTCCCTCATAGCTACCGAGACCGTTTACCTCCCGGAGTGTTTGCGCTTGAAGGTACATTAAAGTGAAGTCATTCGAAAGAAAAAGGAAGAAAACCTCATCATTCCCAAGAACGACTTAATTACGGTGCCTTTTCCTTTCTTTTTACGTTCTTCTGTCCTCCCTCTAGGGGTGAAATTTTCAGCATTAAGTAAGCCCTTCAGATACACTGTATATGGCTTTAGTTGTAAACTGCACGGCACGCTGGCAGAGACGCGCCCCCTGTGGCCCAGCGAGGAGTCCAGGGCGTCTCTGTGAGCACCCGGTAGCGGGCCGTGCTGTTGCTCCCGGCGCCCCGCAGGACGACGACGGCTGGCGGAGAGCAGGTCCCGTCTACCGCTGCGCAGAGACGGAGGCAGTGCTACTACGTTCCCGCAGGTGTTCCAGCCAGTGGGTTCTCACCTGGGGTTCAGCACCCCCTAGGAACCTGCTAGAAATGCAGGTACTCTACTCAGGCCCCGCCGCCCCAGTCCTCAAACTCCAGGGGTGGGGCCCGTGGAGCTGTGTTCTTACTGGCCTTCCAGGTGACCGGGATGCGGGCTGAAGTTTGAGAACTACTTGCCTTTAGCTGCTCTGATGTCATTGCTTCTACATCAGATTCCTAGTTTGATGAGGTTTTAACTTTAGTCTTATTTTTATATAAAATGATTGCCAGACTTTCATTAAGCTTGAGAAGCAAAAGCTCCCTGTAAATGTGCGTGGCCCTGGCTGAGAGCTGTCAAGTGAAAAACTTCTGTGTTTAAGCAGGTTTTCAGTATGTGTGTCTCTTTGATGGTATGAAGAATTTACTTAGGCTTGACTGTTTTGAAACAAACACACACCATAATGAATGTATAATTTATGTTAGAGTATTAACGCTTCGTTACAAGGGAAATGTAATTTTATGATTGGTTGCCTCTTTTCCCATCAACTCAACTCCAGCTATTACTGTCACATTAGTCCTTACCCTGCTGTTAGCTCGGAGCCTTTAAATTTCTATATTTAATTCTCATGATAAATCAGTCACCATAACTCCATGGAGTTAATTAGGTCTTTTCAGAATTAAAACTCTTTGAGTCACGAAAGATAATCAGCTATTCAGAATAACGCTCTGGGTGGCCAACATCCCGAGAATGTATTAAAACCGAAACTCTGCCTACTGTTCTTATTTCCCTTTTACGTATTAAACAAGTTGAGAACCAAATAGTGTCACTGCTTGCTTTTTACCGCCTGCCCCTGGAGCCTTAGCTTTTCAGCCTCGTAGATGCTATGAGCCAGCCTTCAAAATCAGGATGGGGGACAACCCGTGACGTCTTAGAGCAGCGCTTCCGTGTCACACCAGTCTTTCCTCCAGACTGTGGGGAGTTAAAATAGATCTCACTTAAGCAGAAACCCCTTCACGCCACTCTCCTTCCCTGAAAGAAGCGGAACAGCCAGCGCTCTTGTGGAGCCAGGCCGGGAGAACCGATGGTGAGTAGACAGCACTGCCTCTGTCACCTCCACGATTACGCAAAACCCAGGAACTCGACGGGAGTGCAGCCCACGGGTCTTTAATTGCCAGTGTCAGTGCGTACAAAGTTAAATGTTTTCCTGTTAGTGGTGACTGTGGATGAGTGAAACAATAAACAAATAGCTAGCTGATCACCTTTAAGCAAGACCATCTCTGGGTTTAGCACCTTTTTGCAGGTGCAGCTCTAGGTGAAAAGGGATGGGAGGGGACTGCGCACGTTCCAAGAAATTCGTTTGAAAATTACTTTTCTTATTCACCCTCATTTTACAGATGAGTCCAGGGAGGCGAAAGGCTGTGCTCACAGCCACAGTGTAAAGAGCAGGCGTAACTCTCGGCTGTTTCTCCATGTGCTGTACTGCTGCCTGTAGTTCTGGGCTATGCTCTTGACCAAGTTATTTAAAGCAGCTTAAAAGAAAAGGGGGACGGGCTTCCCTGGTGGCGCAGTGGTTAAGAATCCGCCTGCCAATGTAGGGGACCAGGAAGATCCCACGTGCCGTGTACCAACTAAACCCGTGCACCACAACTACTGAGCCTGCGCTCTAGAGCCTGTGCGCCACAACTACTGAAGCCGGCGCGCCTAGAGCCCGTGCTCCGCAACAGGAGAAGCCACCGCAATGAGAAGCCCGCGCACCACAATGAAGAGCAGCCCCCGCTCGCCACAGCTAGAGGGAGCCCGTGCGCAGCAACGAAGACACAACGCAGCCAAAAATAAATAAATTTATAAAAAGGAAAGGGGGGGAAATTTCTTGAAATGGTATAAATCGGAATTTTAATTATGGGAATATCACCTACACCTTTCAAATCGACTACCCACCTTTCTTATGCAGTAAGTCGAAGCAGCAGTATTGACCTTTAATCCTAGAAGTACCTCGTGGAAGCAAAGCTACTGGAAGGTTATTTTTTCCCCTCGTTTATAAGAGTACCTCGGTCATTCAACTTTTCCCCTCACGCGAGGAACGGAGGGTCCGGCGGCGAGTCACAGGGCCACCGCTTGCCGGTCGTGTGTCCTTAACTGCTGCTTCCAAGTGTCCACGGTCCCCTTCCGGGACAGAAGCCAACACGTTTGCACGTGTCAGGCGCACGGCTGCAGGATTTGAGCAAAGACCCGGAAAGCTAAGCCACACTTCTCTGCTTAGTAAGGATCTCCAACACCAAAGCACACAGCTAGCAGAACGTAGGAAAATAAACAACAGGGCTTTAATCCTCTGAAATAAAATTTTAAATTTAACATTTAAAACACGCCAAGTACACAGTCCCTCAGATTTCTAGGAAAGTCCATCCTACTAGGGGGAAAGTACCTTCTGCTCATTAGTAACTAGTTGGGTATGGATTAAACCTTTCTATAAGGAGATGAACAAAACAGGACAAAAGTAACTGAGTGTGTCAAATTCAGTTACCGGCAAAATGAGGAGGTGAGGGCGTTAGGCTGTGCCCGCTGCTCTCACACCTCCCAGAGCCAGTAGGCGATCGCTCTTAGGAGCAAGACAGGGACTGATCATCAACGAACGCAAACACGTTCTTCACCAAGGGCGTCGCACAATTTCTCTCAGCAACAGAAATGTTTAAACTCTTGCCTTGACTTCACTGAGTGACGGGTGGTGGGCTAAGCAGCCCAGGAACTCGCGTGCTACAGTGAGACGCAGAGGACGCAGTGCAGCCGGCGCAGCCAGCCAGCAAACAGCACGATTCCTGAAGACCTTTTATTCATTTGAAGTACTCTGGCGTCACCAGAGTCTGAGCAGACACGGTGCTTTTCCTGATACCCTAGGGTCCGGTAGCATCCCGCCGGCCTGTCCTGTGAGCACGTGGAACTAGTGACTCCCGAATGTTCATTAACACAACTGTGCAGCCGGCTTACTTCCTATCCAGCCACTGGTCACTAAAGCCTGGCAACAAGGTTTAGGAAAAGGTCGCGCGCACCCGCAGCTGAGAAAAGATGAAGTGGCCCGAGTCAGCGAGCGATCGTAACGAAGCCCCGGAGCCCGTGAGGGCCGCTAAGCCTCCTTCACCACCCCGACCAGGGCGGGTCTCAGGGTGCGCCCGTGCAGCTTGTACCCCACTTTGTTAACCAGCGCCACCGTGCCCGGCTCCTTGCCCTCAACCGGCGTGTGGAACAAGGCCTCGTGCTCGTAGGGGTCGAACTTGGCCCCCGCGGGGTTCAGCCGGAGTAAGCCGTGCTTCCTGAACACTTTCTGGATCTGGACCTCAGTCATCACGAGCCCCTCGTAGAGGTTCTTCAGGTGCGGGTTATCGTCCCTAATCTCCTCCTCCGGGACGCACTGTGTCGCCTTCTCCAGAATGTCCGCCACCTCCAGCAGGTCCTTGCAGAAGGCCTGAATGCCTGCATGAAGTTGAAGAACAGCATTTGCATCCTGTGCCACCTGCACGGGCAGCTCAGCACCATACGCCCCGTTTACGTCACACACAAGGGCTATGTAATGACACCTTCTCAAGTCACTGGTTTGCCCTAGAATTTCAATGGCTGGATTAAAAAACAGACACACTTTTCTGGGGTTTAGACAAAAGCCAATGAGGTGTAAAGACCAGCAGCTGAAAACCTGCAGAACCACCATCAGTCCTGCTCCAGGCTAAGAGGACATGCAACCCCCGCAGACAGTAGAGCCAGGAAGGGGTGCAGGTGGCCGCCTCAGCTAAAGAGCACGGGGCCTGGGGCCACATCCCTGGCTGTCACCGAACTGTCCGTGTGATCTGGTTAACCTCTCTGGGTCTCAGCTTCTTTGGTTATAAAACAGGGGTAACAGTACCTAACACAGTGAGGTTATGAGGACAAAACCACACACACTCAGAGCAGCACCTAGAACACTTAAGTACTCAATACACGTTAGCAGTTATTTGGCACCGTGGGGTAAAAGTTACCGGGACACACCCCAAGCCTTAACCTTTATCTAACAGAAGAAATAACGTGTTAAAAAACTTTGCACAAATACAAACGTTTGTGGTTCCAAGACAATGCTTCAGCTGCTGAACGGAGGAGGTCAGGGCGGATGAGAGGCGCACACCGGCTCAGCTCCCCCGGCCCGCCCCACCCTGGCCCTGGCAGCGCAGCAACCATGAGGCTCTAGCACGGCCCACTCAAGTCTTCTCAGGTCTTGAAGGCTGTGCGCTTCGAAGGAGGCAGCACTCGTTTTAGGCTTTACTCTTTCACACAGGGTTTTCACCCCACTGCTTTAAAATGAAATTAAAATTCCACCTATCCGATAAAGATGAGAGCGTCTATTAAGGATTAACCCTGTGCTAGTTCCTGTATGGTCTCTGAGACACGCAGGAAATGGTCACAAGTGGCGAGTACAATCACAATGATACTTACACAAGGCGCACTCGTGAGTGCTGAGGGCAGATTAACCTAAGGGACGTGGTTCGGCAGAGTAGGCGGAGGAAGGTCCTGGGAACTGAGGCCTAGGGAGTCGGGAGGGAGCCGCGAGTTGGAGGAACTGAGGACGGCCAGCCTACCAGGAAGATGCAGACCAGGAGTAGCTGAGGGTTCCAGATGGGGCAGTGGAATGGGTAGAGGTCTGCTGTGGCCACTCTGCCTCGCGTGTGGAGCAGGGATGCAGGAGCTGAAGCTGGCCTGGACCACAGCGGAGGCAGCAGAGACAAGTGGATGAGCCGGAGTCCAGGCATCGCCACTCACTGGACGGGAGGGGAGTGAGCTTGAGGGAGGAGGGCAGTTCACGCGCTTGGCCTGAGCACCCGGGCGGGCAGAGTATGTGCTCAGATGAGGAAGAAAGGCAGCAGGGGGGAGGATCCAGTTTAAAGCACCCCCGAGACGTCCAGGTAAAGCCATACAGGACTAGAACGCAGGAGAAATGTCTGAACTGGAAAGAGAACCTGTGCGTGGATGCCATTCAGACCCGTGGGAGGGCAAGTCAGCAGCGGCGACGGCGAGAGGAGGGGGAGGCCTGCTCCAAGCCCTGAAGAACCCAGACACGTGGAGGGCGACAGACACACAGCCAGCGCAGGCGATGACCAGGAAGAGGAGGAGCAACAGGAGGTGAGGTGACCGCATCCAGGAACCAAGTGTTCCCAGAAGAGGTGAAGCGCCGCTGTTAAGGGGCCCACGAGGGAAGGGTGGGGCCCGCCACGGCAGCCTCTTGCTGGGTGCCGCCTTTATGAGCTCTGGGAGCGCCAGTGCCACGGGGGGCTGCCCACACGCGGAGGTGAGACTGCAAACAGAGCCCCTCCCCGCGGCTGTGTGATCCATGCCACGGCCGCTGACTCTGTCAACTCAGCAGCACGTGCGGGACGTCCGAGTGGAAAGGGTGCTCCCGCGGCTGGGACAGGTCTGGCCTCCGCAGCTGTGGGCTTTGTGGGCACGCACAGAAGCAGGGCCAGGGTCTGGGCGGCTCCCACGGCAGGTCCAGGCGCACAACTACTCCGGTCCTGGTACCTGACCTCAGTGGATCTGTGCTGGTGGTTTTGTGCACACAGCACCTGAGGGACCCCAGGGCCAACTGCTTGCATTCCCACAGTGCAGGCGGGGCCGAGGGCAGTGTGACAACAGCGCACTCTGTGAGCCCGCCCAACAGGTGACAGATGGCACCACAGAGCACGCTCCCTGGTAGATGGCTCTGGCGGAGGGATACTGAGTGGCTCCCCTTCCAGCAGGAGCGCTCCAATCCTGCCTGCCCCACAAGGCAGCTCAGAAACGGATCTGGGGGCCTCTATTCCAACAACTAGGGAGCAGGACCTGCCCACAACAAGGCTGTGACAACCACAGAGCAGAGAGGAGGCCCCCGCTCAAATCCAGTGCAGACTCTGGTCACCACACCACCAGTCACACCTCCTATCAAGGGGATAATGGCCAGGACATGATGAGGAAAGAGGTGGCAGGCATCCACACTAAAAACAGGCCTTGGGCCTTCCCTGGTGGCGCAGTGGTTAAGAATCCGCCTGCCAATGCAGACGACACGGGTTTGAGCCCTGGTCTGGGAAGATCCCACATGCCAAGGAGCAACTAAGCCCATGCGCCACAACTACTGAGACTGTGCTCTAGAACCCATGAGCCACAACTACTGAGCCCACAAGCCTACAGCCCGTGCTCCACAACAAGAGAAGCCACCACAATGAGAAGCCCGTGCACCGCAACGAAGAGTAGCCCCCACTCGCCACAACTAGAGAAAGCCCGTGTGTAGCAACAAAGACCCAGTGCAGCCAAAAAATAAAATAAAATAAAATAAAATAAACTCGCTACAAACAAAAGTCCAGGACCAGATGGCTTCACAGATGAATTCTACCAAACACACAAAGAACCTATAGCAATTCTTCTCAAACTCTTCCAAAAGACTGAAGAGGAAGGACACTATGAAGCCACCATCACCCTGATGCCAAAACCAAGCAAAGACACCTAGCAAAGCAGAAAATTACAGGCCAGTATCTTTGATGAATACAGATGCAAGAATTCTCAACAAAATGTTAGGAAACCGAATCCAGCAACACGTAAAAAAGGATCATATACCACGACCGAGTTGGATTCACCCCAGGGTCATAAGAATGGTTCAACATATGCAAATCAATCAATGCGATACAGCACATCAACAAAAGAGAAGACAAAAACCACATGATTATCTCAGTAGATGCAGAAAAAGCATCTGATAAAATCCAACAACCATTCATGATAAAAACTCTTATGAAAGTAGGTATAGAGAAAACAACTCAACATAATTAAAGCTATTCACAACAAACACACAGCCAACATAATACTCAATGGTGAAAAGCTGAAAGCCTTCCCACTGAAATCTGGAACAAGACAAGGACGCCCACTTTCACTTCTATTCAACATAGTACTGGAAGTCCTAGCCACAGGAATCACACAAGAAAAAGAAATAAAAGGTATCCAAAATGGTAGGGAAGAGGTAGAATTGTCATTATATGCAGATGACATGATACTATAGTTTGAAAACCCTAAAGACTCCACACAAAAACTACTAGAACTGATAAAGGAATTCGGCAAGGTAGCAGGATACAAGATTAACATACAGAAACTGGTTACATTTCTTTACACTAACAATGAAATATCAGAAAAGAAAGTAAAAAAAACAATACCTCTTAAATCCCATCAAATAATACTTAGGAATAAACCTGACAAGGAGGTGAAAGACTTACATCCTGAGAACTATAAACCATTAGTAAAGGAAACTGAAAATGATTCAAAGAAATGGAAAGATACCCCGTGCTCTTGGACTGGAAGAATTAACACTGTTAAAATGGCCTTACTACCCAAAGTAATCTACAGATTTAATGTGATCCCTATCAAATTACCCATGACATTTTTCACAGGACTAGAACAAATAATCCTAAAATTTATATGGAACCACAAGACTCAGAACTGCCAAAGCAATCCCGAGGAAAAAGAACAAAGCTGGAGGCATAACCCTCCCAGACTTCAGACAATACTACAAAGCTACAGTAATCAAAACAGCATGGTACTGGCACGACGACAAACATATAGATCAATGGAACAGAACAGAGAGCCCAGCAATAAACCCACACACCTACAGTCAATTAATCTTTGACAAAGGAGGCAAGAATATTCAACGGAGAAAAGACAGTCTCTTTAGCAAGTGGTGTTAGGAGAGTTGGACAGCCACAGGTCAATCAATGAAGTTAGAACACACCCTCTCACCATACACACAAGTAAACTCAAAATGGCTTAAATAAAGACCTAAATAGAAGACAAGACACCATAAAACTCCTACAAGAGAACAAAGGCAAAACATTTTCTGACATAAATTGTACGAATGTTTTCTCATGTCAGCCTCCCAAGGCAATAGAGATAAAAGCAAAAATAAACAAATGGGTCCTATCAAACTTACAAGCTTTAGCACAGCAAAGGAAACTAAAAACAAAACAAAAAGACAACATACAGACTGGGAGAAAATATTTGCAAATGATGCAACCTACAAGGGCTTAATTTCCAAAATATACAAACAGCTCATAAAACTCAATAACAAAAAACCAAACAACTCAAATCAAAAAATGGGCAGAAGACCAAAACAGACATTTCTCCAAAGAAGACGTACAGATGGCCAATAAGCACATGAAAAGATGCTCAACATCGCTAATTATTAGAGAAATGCAAGTCAAAATTACAATGAGGTACCACCTCACACCAGTCAGAATGGCCACCATTAAAAAGTCTACAAATAACCAATGCTGGAGAGGGTGTGGAGAAAAGAGAACCCTCCTATACTGTTGGTGGGAATGTAAACTGGTACAGCTACTATGGAGAACAGTGTGGAGGTTCCTCAAAAAACTAAAACTAGAATTACCGTATGACCCAGCAATCCCACTCCTGGGCATACATCCAGACAAAACCATAATTCAAAAAGATACAGGCACTCCTATGTTCACAGCTGCACTACTTACAACAGCCAAGCCGTGGAAACATGGAAATGTTCAATGACAGATGAATGGATAAAGAAGATGTGGTATATATTATGTATATTCAATGGAATATGACTCAGCCATAAAATAAAGAACGAAATTATGCCATTTGCAGCAACACAGATGCAACTAGAGATTATCATACCAAGTGAAGTAAGTCAGAAAGAGAAAGACAAATACCATATATCACTTATATGTGGAATCTAAAGTATGGCACAAATGAACCTATCTATGAAACAGAAAAAGAATCACAGACACAGAGAACAGACTTGTGGTGGACAAGGCACGGGGGTGGGGAAGGGATGGAGTGGGAGTTTGGGATGAGCAGATGCAAACTATTATATATGGAATGGATAAACAACAAGGTCCTACTGTAGAGCACAGGGAATTGCATTCAATATCCTGTGATAAACCATAATGGAAAAGAATATAAAAAAGGGAGGGCTTCCCTGGTGGCGCAGTGGTTGAAGAGTCTGCCTGCCAATGCGGGGGACAGGGGTTCGTGCCCCGGTCCGGGAAGATCCCACATGCCGCGGAGCGGCTGGGCCCGTGAGCCATGGCCGCTGAGCCTGCGCGTCCAGAGCCTGTGCTCCGCAACGGGAGAGGCCACAGCAGTGAGAGGCCCGCGTACCGCAAAAAGAAAAAAAAAGAAAAAAAAAAAAAAAGGGACTGTATATACATATATCTATCATATATGTGTAACTGAGTGACTTTGCTGCACAGCAGAAATTAACACAACATTGTACTTCAATTATACGTCAAGGAAATTAAAAAAAGAGAGATTTGTTCTCTGTGTTGAACTCGGAGCTTATCAAGTTTCCAGTGTGAGCACCCAAGGTCTTACTGTGAACCTGAGGTTCTGCATCTACAACAGGGGGACTGAAAGCTCTGTCCCCATAGGTACTCAAATGGTAGCCTCTTGGGTAATCAACACAACACACCTGGGGTTGAGAGACGGGCCTCAGTGCCAGCGCCATTACCAGGTTTGTGCTGAATGGCAAGTCATTTCAGCCTCACTGATCTCAACTGTAAAAACGGGAAGGATGATAACAGAAACATACAAAGGTGACAATGCAGACAGAATCTGAGGAGGTCCTAAGTGAGACCAATGTTAGGGCTGCTCCAGCTAAGGAGCCGAACCTCATAGAGCCGACCTGCTAGTTACCTGCAGGCTCACACTGAGGTCTCTGTGTGGAAGAGCAAAGCACGCGCTCCTCACTGAAGGAATCAAGCTCACCACTCCGAGTGCGAGTCATAGGGGCAATTTTGCTCCTTCTAGACAACGGCTGACCCATCTCAAAAACTGGAGGGAGTGCGAGCAGCAGGCTCCCCACCTCGTCACGGGGCCGGACCCTTTGCCTGGCTCTGATACCCCCTCCCTTGCCCCGTGTTTCCCTCGGTCAATGTCATGTAACGTTGAAAGTTACCATATAGTCTCGCCTCCTCCACCAATTTTTGGCTCCTCTGCCGCAAGTTCTCAGTATCTGCTAAAGCTCGCTTATACTTTTCCTTAAAAAAAAAGAAAGGGAGAAAGAAAGACTGATTCACATGAATTAAGTGTGGAACAAATTCATAGGAAAGCATATCTAATGTAACAAACTCCAAGTCAAAACACAAATAACAGCTATCATCACGTCTGAAATTTTGGGTTACAGACAGCTGCTGCTTAATAAACAGAAACAAATTAACCCGTGTCACTATTTCCAGCAAGTGGGGAATAGATGGCCCGGTGTCACATATTCACATAGCCCCCAAGGGCATTCTCACGCAGCGCGCAGCTGGGGAAGGACAACGAGAGGCTTCTCGCTTCTCGTGGTTCCGATGGCTCTCCTCCAGGAAGGACCATTCATTCATTCCTCAGCAGAATCTCCAACTTAAGGGAATCCTGGAAGCCCGGTTAGGGGCTGACCCGCTCAGTTCCCACACACTGAAGAGAAGTCTAGGAGAACAACGAACCTGAGTGGACAGCTTTGGCCTCTACGCCACAGAAGAGGAAAAACCCCATCAACGAACCTCTGGTATTGTTAACATTGCCCAGCTATGATTCAGTTGAAACATTTATTGTGTACTAATCATCTGAATTCTGCTATCTTCCTCATTTTGCACCAACTTTTCCTGTAATCTCATCCATCTCCTGGAATTTCTATTTTTCGTGTGCACCAGGTTACTGTGTTCAGCCTTCAGGCGATTCCAGAGCCGTGGTTAAGAGCAAGGGCTCCCAGGCTCAGGCCCTCGCCCTGCCACTCAGTGGCCAGGTGACCTTGGGAAGTTTACCAAACCGTCCTGGACCTCAGTTTCCTTATCTGTAAACAGGGATATTAACGGTTGGCTCACAGGGTTGTTGTGAGAATTAATATAAATAAAGGAGTTAGAACAGCCCCAGCACACAGTATTTGATATTATCATTCTTAAATGCTTACAGAGCTCGATTTGTGCCACTCATGCTTTTCCACATGGGGTCATAATCCATATTACTAATCAGTTCATAGAACTCCTACCTCCCTAGGAGAGCACCACGTGGCCGTACGTCTGCCCCCCACCCTTATCCTTCCCTAAGACCAGCTTAAAGGGCCCTACTGAATAGTCCTCACCGGTAAAGACCATTTTAAGCCTTAATTCAATATAATCTAGGTAGCACATAGAGATGACCCTCATGACAACCAGGGCCACACAGGCTTTGGGTTCTAGCCCTTCTCCGGCAGTAACTTGTTGTAGGACCCAGCCGTAGTCCTTGGACAACGATGGGATTTGTCTCTGTTGTCACGGAGGCTGGCCAGACGTCCCCGGAAAAGACTCACCTGGAGTTCGAACGACCATGCTCCCCCAAGAGCCCGCAACCTTACCACGGTCTCCTTCAGCTGCTCTTCCAGCTTGACCTTCTCTTCCATCAGTGTCTTCTCTGCAGAGGGCAAGTCTGTCTTCTGTTCATTCTGACCCATGTCCTCTTCCAGGTTCTGGCCATTGTTCTTCTGTTTTGTAGCTGTGCACAGCAGCCGAGGAGAGGACCTAAAGACAAGTCCACATGCTAGAAATTAAGATCGTGGTTTTTCTGCTTCTTAAAGTCAGATGTATGACTTCAGAAATCAGAGAATTTAAAACTATTTGCTACTGACTCATGGGGGAGAAAGGATTTATTTTAGATCCAATAAAGGCATATGACGTATAGAAGCTATTTGTTGATACAAAGTCTTCTGCAACACATGCCTAAACTAATATGTCAGTGTACCAAGGCTATGGTACTAACCTCCTCTTGTTCCCACTTTAAACATCTCCTTCTGAGATATGGTCACCCAGCCCCACCACACAGCAATGCAGCAGCTACTACTGGAGGTGAGGCCCAGTGCTGATGCTGATTACAAAGCTGGAGGGGCAGAGATCTTGCCCACTGGGTACTTCGGGCATGCAAAAAAGATATCTACACACAAAGAACCGTAATGTGGGGTTTGAAAGGGATAAAAGAGGAACCATGCACTTTGGGAGGCTCAGAGTAGAATATTTCTAGCTTTGGGTAAATGGAAGGCAATGAAACGGTTTGTGCAGCGGGGCTTTGAAGGATAAGTGAGAGTTCACATACGGAGTCAGGAATGGATGAGACAGACGCACTTCAGGAAGGGGGAAGGACCTGGATAAAGGCATGGAGGTTGGAAAGCATGGGGATGGTATGTACAGGGGAAATACAAAGAGCTCTAAAACTAATGCTGCAAGGGACTTCAAAGTATTACCCAATCTGATCCCCACATGAAAAAGGTTAAGTGATAAACTCAAGGCCACAAGGCCATTAAGGAATGATACACATCTCTGCACCAGGTCCAGTGGAGCTCTTAATTATGCCACAGTCCAACCTGAAAATAAACCGCACCAGATTAAAAAAAACTGCCTCAATGAACAGGAAAGCTAGGGAGTACACAGAACATATGTACAAAGATGTTTACAGCAACTGGAAACAGATCGCTGTCAGAAGGAGATGGCTGAACAAGCTGTTGCTTCCAAGATCTGGAATACTGAGCAGCTACCAAATAGAATATGTTAAACTGCCATCTTTTGGCTACACCACGGGTGTACTGTGTGTGCAAGAAATGCAACTTAGAGAAATGCACAAAACACAACCCCGCTTTTATAAACTCAAACCAGAAATCCTGTGTAGGTACATGTGTCTGAGGCCTGCAGAGAGCGATGAGAGGATTCATTACATTAGTCTGTTACCCTGGGGGTGAAATGCAATAACCTTTTTACTGTTATTTTCACTTTCGTGATGAAAAAAAAATGATAATCTGAAAACTTAAGTGTGCTGGTGTGAAGCCTGCCTTTCTTCCTAGATGTCCTGACCTCTGGGTGCGACAGTCACCGCCATTCGGCAGTTCACCTCCGCTCTGCCGACCCCCTCCTGGAGCGCCAGAGGCTCCCGCAGCAGCCAGAGAGAGTCTTGCCTTGCTTTGCTTTGCTTTGCAGGGAGGGAGACGGAGGCTCCGGGGGCTCAGTTACTCCGAAAGCTACGCATACAATTCAGCTCTCTAGACTCCCCAACTTGAGCCTCTTGCCACAAACCCAGTTCTCAGAGCAGAAATTCACGCTGTCCTGGCAATTAATTCCAGGTACAAAAATCACAAATTATTTGAGCAAAGAGGCCTTTTCACTCGGGCTTTCCGGTGGGCTTGTTCCCACACAGTTCTACACCATGTATCTGGCTGGAATCGCAGCTGCATCCCCGCGCACTACCGTAGTCCACGCTGCCCGGCCCGGTCTCCCCGTCACTCAGGCAGCTCCTGCGGGGAAAGCCCAGCTCCTGCTCTGCGCAGCTTCTACCCAATCTGTCTTCTGCCAGATAACCTGGTTCTGGGCAAAGTTCCTCCAACGCAGAAGGTGCTAAGCACTCGCTAAACTAACTTATGAGGCTGGACTCTGAAAAAGCAGAAACGGCAGGTTTAAAAAAAAAAACCACGAAAGAAGAAAAGCCAATGGGAGGGCACTGCCTCGTGCCCCCCGCCGCGGAGTCACCGCTCTTGTATAAATAAGCCGCTGTCCCCACGGCGGGGCAGGCGCCGCTGCCCTTCTGACCTCAGGCTCCGGGGCACGCGGAGGTGGACGAGGACTCGGGCCGAGCGGAAGGAGCCAGCGCGCCGCCGCCTCGCGCCCCGGCGACCCGCACACGCAGCAGCCTCGCGCCGGCCTGGGCTCGCAGGCGGCTCGGCGCGGCCTCGGGCTCGCGCGGGGCGCCGTCACACCCTCCCCGGGCCCGCCGCGCGGGCAGCACGGGCAGCGAGGCCGCAGGGCAGCTCCGCGGTGTCCGCGCCCCGCGTGGGGGAAACGCCGCCCACAGCGTCCGGGCCGGAGCCGGGCAGGGCTCGGGTCGGAGCGGACGGGGGCGGCACGCGCACCGCGCTCTTCCTCAGCCCGGGCAGCCGGCGTCCCTTACCTGAGAGACAACGCCAAAGCCGGGAGGCTGTGCCGCGCCTGCCTCACGCACCGAGCCGCCATCATTGCCGCCGGGCCTGCGCGCGCATGGGGCATGCGCGGAGGCGGCTAGCCCCTCCCCTCGGCCACCAGGACACTCGCGCAGACTCTGTGCTTCCTTCCCCCCTCCCAACTACTTCCCCTCAGCCAATCCACCACCGCTTCTCCTCTGATGGACAGATCATACTCACCGCTAATTGCCAGTCTTGGAGGAGCACTCTCCCCTCCCCCGGTGGGCGGGGTCTGAGGCCTTCCAGAGCCCGAGAAGGTGAGGAGGTGAAAGGTGAAGGAAACCGTGGGAGGAGACTCTCGGCGGAGGGGCGTGGTCAAAGGAAGAGCCAATAGAGAGGGAGCATGGGGGTGGGGCGCCAGAAGTGCGGACTAGGGAGAGCGGAGAGGAGGCGGTCGGTTTTCCCGTCTGGTCGCGCGCTGTGTGTTCCAGGCCGCCGTTTCCTCTGGGAGTCGGCGATGCGCCGGGGGGCTGGCATTTGTCCTGTTCTCCCTTGCAGCGCGAGCTTCTGGAACCGTGCCGGGCACCGGGCGCTCAGTGTGGGCTAAATGCAAATAGGCCAAGGACAAAAGCACGTCCACGGGCAACCGCAGGACTTTAAAAAAGTCGGTTAAAACAGTGTTAGGGGGGCTTCCCTGGTGGCGCAGTGGTTGAGAGTCCGCCTGCCGATGCAGGGGACGCGGGTTCGTGCCCCGGTCCGGGAAGATCCCACGTGTCGCGGAGCGACTGGGCCCGTGAGCCATGGCCACTGAGCCTGCGCGTCCGGAGCCTGTGCTCCGCAACGGGACAGGCCACAACAGTGAGAGGCCCGCGTACCGCAAAAAAAAAAAACAAAAAAACCCCAAACAACAGTGTTAGGGGAGCACCACCCGTCCTTCCTGCGGCTCTACGGCGGCGGAGGAGGGGGAAGGGGCGAGGGCTGGTGGCCGGAGGGCACTCCGTCGCTACCTGTCAGTTTTATTAACGCGAAAACCAAAACCCAGGAAGCAGATGTGACACAGCATGGCGGCGCTGGTGCTGGGTGAGGGGAATTGTGTGTGTGTTGTTTTCTCTTTGCCCTCTTCTTTCACCTTCAGTTTTATGAGTAAAACACAAAGCATAACAAGATAAGAACAGCACCGAGGAAGGCTCAGGGGACACAGCCAAAGCTCGTAAATCCAAATGTTTTCGTTAATCTATCAAAGGTCAGTGCTACCGTATCATGTGCCACGAAGGAGCCGAGGTGCTGGAAGAGGAGGTGTCCCGGGCTGGAGCCTGTGGTGTCCCAAGTGCAGTGCTGCCTGCATGTCATATTTGGGGTTTTTTTGGTTTTCCTTTAAATTAATTAATTAATTTTTGGCTGCCTTGGGTCTTCGTTGCTGTGTGCGGGTTTTCTCTAGTTGCAGCGAGCGGGGGCTACTTTTCGTAGCGATACGCAGACTTCTCATTGGGGTGGCTTCTCTTGTTGCGGAGCACGGGCTCTAGGCGCGCGGGCTTCAGTAGTTGAGGCACGCCGGCTTCAGTAGTTGTGGCTCCTGGGCTCTAGAGCGCAGGCTCAGTAGTTGTGGCGCACAGGCTTAGCTGCACCGCGGCATGGGGGGGTCTTCCCGGACCAGGGCTCGCACCCCTGTCCCCTGCATCGGCAGGCGGATTCTTAACCACTGCGCCACCAGGGAAGCCCCGAAGTTTCCTGTAATAAAATGTAAAGCATGTCAGGGGGAGGGATAAATTAGGAGCTTGGGATTAACATACAGACACTACTATGTGTAAAACAGACAGCCAACAAGGACCTACCGTATAGCACAGGGAACTCTGCTCAATATTCTGTAATAACCTATATGGGAAAAGACTCTGAAAAAGAATGAATATAGGTATATGTATAACTGAATCACGTTGATGTACACCTGAAACTAGCACAACATTGTAAATCAACTATACTCCAAAAAAATTTTTTTTTAATTTAAACCATGTCATGTTTCTCATTGGCTGTGACCTTGGGCAAGTCATTTAATTGCTCTCAGCATTGACTCCCTCCCTGTAGACCTGGGATTATATCATTTAATGTGAGGTTTAAAAGAGGTACAACTATTCATTTCCTAACTCTTAGGGCTCAAGGGAATCAGATGGGAATCCTGCTGTAAATAGCTCACAGTGCAGCATGGGGACGATCAACAGTGGTAGCCGCTGTGTCCTGAGACAGAGCCAAGCACTGGCTGTTGCAGAGGCGATGTTTCTGGGACACTGAATCCCTGGTCCGTACAGGACAGCCGAGAGGCCGTGCCCCAGATCTACTCTTACGTCCAAAACGGCAGATTTTCCGGAACAGAGGCCTGTCTGTGCTGCCACCTCGTGGCAGCATTGGGAACTACACCCTTGGGAGCCTGCTCAGGTAGTTCCTTGAAGTCTGGAACTTCTTTGTCACCGCATTGCAAGTCACCAGCACGCAGAGATGAAACTGCCTGTGTGGGAAGACTCCTGCATCGGCCCTTGGAACAAAGTTCTAGCAAAGAGAGTGGGTGGCCCAGACAAGGGGTGCAGGAAGAGCAAGCTAAACAGCCCATGGTGCCCCCAGAAAGGATGGGGCTGTGTTTAAAAGAAAATGTCCTCAGGAGAAGGTTGTGCAGAAGGGCACAACAGCATGTGGGCTGTGGGTGTGACGCTCATGAAAGCTGAGTGCCCACAAGTGCCAGGCTCCCTACAGGTGTCCTCTCCTGGACCAGCCTGCCCTGCGGTGATGGGGAGACGGGGGATGGGCCAGGTTCGTCACACACTTGGCAAAAGGCAGAGCTCTTGCCTGTTTCTCCCGACTAATCCCAGCCCATGTGACCATTAGGGCCAGAACCTTCATCAGAATGTTGGCTGCTGCCATAAGGTGCGTCGTCATCTTTATTATTATTATTCTTATTGTCCCTCAGCTGGAGCATGGAATTTCCTCCTTTAACTCTGAAATAAGCAAATTAAAAGAATATATATGTGTCTGTGACGGGTGTGGTGGACAGAATTCTAAAGACGGGCCCAGGATACCCATCCTCTGGTTATTCAGTCAAACACTAATCTAGGTGCTGCTGTGAAGAGGCTTTGCAGATGCAGCTGGCGTGTCAAGTCAGTGACCTTCGTGGAGAGTATCTGGTGGGCTTGACCTTGGTGAGCCCTTTCAAAGCATAGAGTTTCCTCCAGGAGGCCAAGGCAGAGAGCTTCACAGCATGAGAAAGACTGGAATCACTGCTGCTGGTGCAAAGACGGACGGGGGAGTGAGAAGGTGGCCTCAGGGAGCAGACGGCGGCCCCCCTCTGGCCACCAGCGAGGACGTGAGGGCCTCAGATCTGCTGTCTCAGGGCACTGGACTCCACAGGCCATCTGTGCGGGTCCCCAGACCACAGCCCCGCCCAGCCTTTTGAGGGGCATTACTTCTCTCCTCTCCACTTTATCTGTATTTGGGATCTCAGTACACAGAATGGAGTAACCATAAACCTTGTTCCCATTCCCGTCATGGGGTCTTATTCTTGGCCCCCTTTTGTTTGTTTGTTCATTTGTTTCCGTGCTACAGGAGACCCCCACCAAATAAAAACCTCCACCTGGGGGAAACGGGGGCTCCCCGGTTAAGAGACTTTCCTGGAAGAGGGACCTGAAACTGGCAGCAGATTTCACCGACAGTCCTCCCAAGCACACGGGCTCCAAACTGAAATGCATGTTCTTGGTAAGAAAATGCCACCAGAAGGGGCCACAGACGTTCAAGCTGAAATAACTTTCTGCAGAAAGAGCCAAATCAGTTGCATGAGGAACGAGCAAACACGTTAACTGGCAGCCGCTTCCCCGAGAGCATCTGAAGGCCAACGGCAGCCGCCTGGAACTAGTGGCCTCCAGGTACGGCTCAGGTGCAGCCCTCGGCACCATCAGTTCCTCCCACAGAGACACTGGAAGGACAGGGAAGGAGAGAGCAGCGGCAAACTCCCCAATCCCAAGGAGAGTGTCTTAAAGAGCCCTTGGACATCAGAGAGAGTTTGAATCCGAGGCTGATTAAATTGTTCATCACAAGCCCGCTGTGACTGGAACTCTCCTGTGTGTCGGTCGAATCAGCCATTAGCCAGAAGAAAAGTCAGAAGGGTGCAAAGCCTGCGGGTTGGCGGGAGGGACGGTTTCTCATTATAAAAATAATGGATGCTCATCATAGAAATGTTACAAAATGTAAATGGTAGGAGAGTGTAGGACTATCAGCCTTTCCCTCCTGAGTTCCTCTTTCTCATCCCTGTTGGGACCTTGGGCACCTGCACTCTATCTCCCCTTGACCCTGACCTTGGATTGATCACAAACCCAGAACTAGAGCCAGAAGCATCTTGAGGTGACAGCCACGACCCTGTGATGAGCAGAGACGATTGGGTCCCTTGCCTGTATTACGAGGCTAATGACACTTATTGTGAAAAGCCCGGGCTTCCCACGAGCAGGGCTCAAGGGCAGAGGGGCTCCCAGGAGCTGTGGCTGAACCCGGCTTGCTTAGGAACCTCCTTCCCCTGCCACTGGTGGCCTCGGGTGCCTGTCAGGAAACATGGACATGGATGCAGGGCGCACACAGGGCAGCCACGGAAGCAGCGGGCACACCTGCCCCTGCTCTTATCCCTAAGCCCTCCTGGATCAGGAACTAAAGCAAACCAGAAGAGTTTATTTCCTCCATCTGCAAAAGTCCAAGTGGCTCTGTGGCTTCAGGTCCTCAGGGGCCCAGGCTCCTTCCTGCTCGCAGCTCTGCCCTCCCCAGGGCAGGGCCCTCGCCCTCACGGTGAGGATGGATCTCTGGTCCTGACAGCAATATCTCAAACAGCAGGCTGGCAGAGGTGAGGGGAGGGAAAGGCCGCACTGCAGGAGTCTTCTAAGGAGGTTGCCAGGATGCCAGGCACCATATCAGCTCATTCCCTATTGGCCTTAGTCACATGGCCACACCTAGCTGCAAGGGAGTCTGGGAAGGAGGTCTTTGTTCCTAATGATCCCTTCCCAGCTTAAAATTCTAGTCCCGCAGAGGACAAAGGATGCTTGGGGACACCAGCAACAGCTCCACCTGGGCTCTTCCGTGACCCTC